AGGCCTTGTTTATTCTCACAAGCTGCTGTTCTTCTATCCCCTTGGCTGCTTTATCAGCGTGCCCCAGGGCCCAATCCTTCAACCCTCTCTGTATCCACCCTTCCTTCCTCTCATCCACCCTCAAGGCTTAAATACCATTTAGACAGATGACTGCTGAATTTTCTGTCTCCTATGGATGACTCCCTGAACTGCCCCACTCAACACCCAGTTGTGCAGGGCCAATTACTTGCACATCTACATCCTGTCCTTAGGAAACATCCTGAACCAATCCAGTCCTAACTCCCACCCTCAGCCACCAACATCTCTGCCAGCATTGCTGCAGTAGTTCTTGAGTGACACTCTTGCCTCCTCCTTACATAGAGTCTGTGGCCAACACACTGACTAGAGTCATGCTTTAAAGAGTGAGAGTCAGATCATTTCACTCCACAAAACCCTTCAGTGGCTCCACTCCACTACACCAGTTATTGCAGCCTCCACAGGACCAGCCAAGATCCCTGTGCTCTGCTATTCCCTCTGGTGGGCCACCACCCTGCCCAGCTGGCCTTGCCACTGGGCTCTTTTTTTGTTCAGATATCACCTTCTGTCCTATTTACAACTGTCACCCTTTTTTACAGTCTCCTTTCCTCCTTTCCCTGACTTCTATGTGACCTGCTTCCATTTTCCATAGTACTTCTATCAAGTTGATACCAGGGCTTTTGGTTCACCTTGAATAGCCACTGGCTTATATGTAGAAGGTGTTCAATGTGTGTTGAATTTAAAATCAGAATGCCTCTATGGTGTGAAAAGACGTAAAAATTAGGGATATTCAGTTTCTTTTTTTTTAATCAAGTATCTGCAAAGTGCCTTTTGGTACCTCTTAATGACATCTCTCTTTTGTATTGTGCTTGTTTATGTATGTGCATACCAAGTTAAAGTGTGTGGGACCCTCAAAGCAAGCTGGGGAGAGCATATTGAATTTAGTATCAGGCATGATGTTTTTTATTTCTGTAGTCTCAAAATATCATCAAATTGGGAGTAATACTTGAGTCAGAGACTTGTGAATATTGAATGAGCTAGCCAGGTGGGAGCTTTTGGCCTAACCATCATAATCTGACAGGTATTTTTACTGAGACGAAGACTTTTCTATCCTTATTCCTTGCTGTGCATCTATTGGATATACCAGTTCCGAGGGGGAAGAGCAGTCCATTGTCATATGCAAGAATCAGGGAATAATGCGTGAATGAATGTAGATTGGTTATTTTCAGATGTTAGGTGGGCAGAGATAGTCCCACAGACCATTCCTTGAGGCCATAGTCAAGGTCTTGAATCCTGAATGGAAAAAATGGAAAGGGGAGGTTGATAACTGGTTTGTTTATGTTCTTACAATTCTTTTGCCTTTTTAAATGCAGTCCCAGGACATCAAAACTCTGCAGAAAGAACTCGAGCAGTTTGCTAAGCTCCTGAAGCAGAAGAGGATCACCCTGGGATATACCCAGGCTGATGTGGGGCTGACCCTGGGTGTTCTCTTTGGTGGGTCCCTTCAGCATGTTCTGACCTACAGGGACCACTTGTTCCCCAGAGGAACACTCCTGCACTTAGACCTTTCCTTCCCATCATGCGGGGTAGAGGGAGGGTGTTTCATGGGCAGGCTCTCTCACCCATGAAGAGAGAGGAGGAGAAACTTCCTGTGGGTTGAGGTAGGATCCATAGTGGGCTCTTATAAGGACAAGAGGTGGGAGGCCTGAGTTTTAGAGGAACAAGAGCCACCTAAAATTGCTTTTCTTTTGCTGGCCTCCCTCAGGGAAGGTGTTCAGCCAAACAACCATCTGCCGTTTTGAGGCCCTGCAGCTCAGTTTCAAGAACATGTGTAAGCTGCGGCCCCTGCTGCAGAAGTGGGTGGAGGAAGCTGACAACAATGAAAATCTTCAGGAGGTGAGGTGGAAGGGTGCACAGGGGCCTGCTCTATCTTGGCCCTATTTCCATTGCTTCCATCCCTGGCTTATAGCTCTTCCTCTTGGGGGCAATAGTTCTCAATGGAATGGAGTATAATTCCTCAGTTCTGCTGGAAAGGGTCCAGAGCCACTCCCTAAGGATGTTTCTTTTTCCTACCACCTGGCTCCGGTGACGTAGCTAGTCAAGAGACCCATGGAGGCTTGGCATCCGTAGCACAGTGGTTATGGCGCCAGCCACATGCACCAAGGTTGGCAGGTTCGAACCCAGCCCAGGCCAGCTAAACAATGACAACTACAACAACACCAATAAAAATAGCCAGGCGTTGTGGCAGGTGCCTCTGGTCCCAGCTACTTGGGAGGCTGAAGCAAGAGAATAGCTTAAGCCCAAGAGTTGGAGTTTGCTGTGAGCTGTGACGCCACTGTACTCTACCAAGGATGACATAGTGAGACTCTGTTAAAAAAAAAAAAATAGCCACATGGAACTGTTGCTCTCAGCAGGTCCAAAGTCTACCCTTGTCTCCCCTTCCCCACCTGTCCAGATATGCAAAGCAGAGACCCTTGTGCAGGCTAGAAAGAGAAAGAGAACAAGTATTGAGAACCGAGTGAGAGGCAACCTGGAGAACTTGTTCCTGCAATGCCCAAAACCCACACTGCAGCAGATCAGCCACATCGCACAGCAGCTTGGGCTTGAGAAGGATGTGAGTGTCCATTTTGTCTGTGTTCTATCTCCTCCTCCCCATCACCACCTCCCTTTCCCTAGCTTTGGCTCCTCCAGTCTCTCTAGGGCTATTAGCTATGGGCAAAATGACCAAGCAGGGCCAGACCTACCTCTTGGAGCTCATGGTCTAATGTCTTTCTCCCTTGTGTTGTCCATCACAGGTAGTCCGAGTGTGGTTCTGTAACCGCCGCCAGAAGGGCAAGAGATCAAGCAGTGACTATTCGCAACGAGAGGAATTTGAGGCTGCTGGGTCTCCTTTTTCAGGGGGACCAGTGTCCTTTCCTTTGGCTGCAGGGCCCCATTTTGGTACCCCAGGCTATGGGAGCCCTCACTTTACCACACTGTACTCCTCAGTCCCTTTCTCTGAGGGGGAAGCTTTTCCCTCTGTCTCTGTCACCACTCTGGGCTCTCCTATGCATTCAAACTAAAGTGTCTGCCCTTCTAGGAATGGGGAGGGACAGGAATACAGGAGAGGCTAGAGGAGAACCTGGAGTTTGTACCAGGGCTTTTTGGATTAAATTCTTTAATCACTAAGGAAGGAATTGGGAACACAAAGGGTGGGGGCAGGGAGTTTTGGGGGAGCTGGATGGAAGAAAGGTGAAGTTCAATTATGCTCTTGATTTTAATCCCCACATCACTCATTACTTTGTTCTAAAATAAAGAAGCCTGGGACACAGTAGATAGATAATTCTGTCTTGGTTTATCTGCCTTTAGTTCCTGAGAAAAGGAGGAGGAGATGGGGATGGGGATATCCAGTGATACCTGCTTTTATAACAAAGTGACCCTAAAACCATGGTGCCATTTATACTGAGATCCCATGGTATCAGAAGGTGAGCTGGGATTAGAACCAAGTTTCTTTCTAGAGGGCCCATAGAAGCCTTCAGAACCTGTGATGGGGGGAGGTCTGAACACCACATTTTTGCTCATAGACATAGTCACCATTTTGCACATTTCTCACTTAAGACCTGCTGCTTGCTTTCCTTACTCTGCTCTGGAAGGCTTCAGTAGCTTTATACTTAGAAATTGAGTCTTTAGATACTATTTCTGTTCCATATCACCCCAATGTGATACTCTTTGTGCTTTCTTGATACCAGGACCCATTTGGTTTCCACAGTAGGTTTTTGCATACCATGTCCATAAGTGACTCACAACTCACCCACCTTTATTTATTTATTTATATATTTTTTGAGACAGTGTCTCATTATGTCACCCTCGGTAGATGCCATGGCGTCGCAGTTCACAGGAACCTCAAACTCTTGGGCTCAAGCAATTCTCTTGCCTTAGCCTCCCAAGTAGCTGGGACTACAGGTACCTGCCACAATGCCTGGCTATTTTTTGTTACAGTTGTCATTGTTGGTTAGCTGGCCTGGGCCAGGTTCAAACCCACCAACTTTGGTGTATATGGCTGGCACCAAGCCATACCCACCTTTTATTCTGTGTCTGCCACTAGTTCCTTAGAGGCCTTTGCTCAGTAGCTGTTTCCTTGATGTGAAAAAACTTTATAAGTCAAGGCAGGAGAGCACAGACAGGTCAACATAAGCCTTTCCCCATAAGAATTAGAGATGATGCTTTGACAGTATCTTGGTTTGGTGTTAAGCTAACAGAAAATCACAAATACTGTATGTAGATTGTATGTGGCCAGCATGTGCTGTAGCTAGCTAACAGGATTTTTCCCTTTCCTTGACAGTACGGGTGAAGTCTGTAAAGCTGTATAATTCTTGTGAATCTTATATTACCTGTATTCTTGTTTTCCTGTCTCCTGCCTCCAACTTACCCCATATATTTATACCTTTCCAGTGAACAGGTTAGTATTTCTCTACTCATTTCTCCTTTCTCAAACATTCTGAATTAGTTCTCCACACTTTCTCAAAAGGCATTCTCCCAAGAACTGGAAAGCAAGGAATATCAGAGCCACAAGAAGTAAATGCTCAGGAGTTAATGAAGCTGCTGCTTGTTTACTTGGAAATAGAAGCAAAGCTCTGAAAAGCCAGGTCACTATGATCTGGTCAGCAGCAGGACTAGCCACAGTGTAAAGATGCTTTGGGTCCAGACCCTGGTTTTCCCAGAATGCCTCAGGAGATGTCATTCAAGAATTCCCTCCCAGCAGTTGCTAGGTGTGTATTCTGCAATTGATGGGATGCTCTCACCACATGTATTCTGGTGTCCATGGCAACAAGGCCTCACAGCTTATAACTGGGAATTTGCAGCTCAACCGGCAACTTGGAGGCAGCAATGTCTTTGGTAGGAAACCACCTTAGCCATGTACCAACAGCAATCCATCCTTATTCCCTATAGCCATTCCCTCCTGAGAAGGGAAGGAGGGGCTGCATTTGTTAGATCCATTTGCACTTCACTGTGTCCTTCTGCAAAATGGAGCTGTGTCCTCTGGTGGGTAGGCCTTAGGTCTAGGTGTCAGCATGGCACCCTGGGCATCGGAAGTCAGCCTCCCTGGCAGCCTGGATACTGCAGCCAACACAGGCCACGTGAAACCAGACATCACAACCATCACACTGAACCCAGGCCACTGTCTCCTCTTGAGGCAAGCAACAACACGGAGCTGCACAGGGCTCCCCTCCCCCACCTGCAGGGGGCGCCGTGGGGACACTCACTGGGTGCTTTCGAGGACGGCCACGGCGATTTCTGAAGGAAGAGAGACATCAGGGTCACTGGAAATCTGTAGGCCTAGAAATCTTTTTAATAAATGTAGGGTGAATTTAGATAGGCTCACTGGACTAATGTGAGTCTGAAATCATGTAGGGTTGTAGTGTGGGCCCAGAAACTAGTCCCCAGTTGACTCCCTAGTATGGGATATGATTCTCCCTTTGGGTGCAAAGCTAGTAACTGAAAACCTGCAGTGTGAGCCTGCAAGTTCCCCATCTGGGGTTAAAGCCATAGAAATGTAAAAGGTAAATACTCCTGCCTGCTGGCCTGCTAGTTTTATAACCACTGTGCCCCTCACCTAACTCATTTCCTTCTATATATATTTTTCTATTTTCCTATTCCTGTTAAAGCTAACCTAGGTCTTGCCATTCTAACATCTGTTCTGCCTCTGACCACTCCCCAAGCAAAGGAGCCTCCTCCCAGCCAGAGGAAAGAAAGAGTGGAAAGGCAGTGAGTTACTGAAAGAAGACTGACACATGAGAACTCTTCACTTACCCACTGGGTGTCAGAAGGGCTTTCTCTACACGGAGTTTCTTCCTGGGCTCCATAAAGACTGGTGGGGGGCTTTCAGGAACCTCACTCTCATCATCCAATTCTGCCAACACTCGGTGAACAGATTTCCTCCGATTTCGTGGGGGTGGGACAGAAGGGGTAGTCCCTACTTCTCCAGGTGGAGTGGGAACAGGCATGCTTTTTGGCCCACTCCGGGAGAAGGTGAGTGGCTGGGGCTGGAGCTTGCTGAGGCTGCCGATGGAGTTGAGGATCAGTGTGGCCTTGGGGGTGGGAGAGAGGGTGCTGAGAGGCCGCTGTGGAGCCCCCTGGGAAGGCAGCATGGGCTGGAAACCAACCCCGGCATCTCCCGTAGACCGTGGGATGGTAATGGCAGCAAAGTCTTGAGGTTTGACCCGGACTTGTTGGAACATGAAGTAGAACTCTGAGGGGCTGGTTCCTGGGGGCGCTTCAGGGCCAAAGGTCAGGAGATCCCCATCACTCAACTCTAGCCTATGACCTCTTGGGAGTCGGACATTATTGACCAAAGTCCCTGGTGGGGCATCAGATATAGAAAAGGACAAAAACAGAAATGACCAGTCAGGAGTGGAGACATCTGGTTCTATTTGATTTCTGGGGAGCATGAGAAACACATGATATCTTCATCAAATTCTTCATCACATTTCTAAGCCCCTCAGCAGGTGATTGCTAGATACCAAGTAATAAACTTCTTATCTACTGGAAACAAGCTTATTTTTCCTGTGCTTTCCTACAAAGGACTCCTTCCTTCACTCTCCTGAGGTCCACCCTTAGACATTCTCACTCTTGCCCAACTCCAACTCCAACTGCTTCAAATCCTGGCTTCACCACTTTACCAGCTATGTGACCCTGAACAAGTTTATTATTGTGCTTTGTTTTCTTCCACTGCAAAACAGGGATGAAATTAGTGCAGCCTACATTCAATGCACTTAAAATAGTGACTGGGTCATAACAATAAGCACCAAGGCCAGGCTTGGTGGATTACCCCTGTCATCCTAGCACTCTGGGAGGGCAAGATGGGTGGATTGCCTGAGCTCATGGGTTCAAGACCAGCTTGAGCAAGAGTGAGACCCTGTCTCTAAAAATTGCTGGGTGTCGTATGGGCACCTATAGTCCCACCTACTTGGGAGGCTGAGGCAAGAGAATCAATCACTTGAACCCACGAGTTTGAGGTTGCTGTGAGTTACAATGCCACAGCATTTTACTGAGGGCGACAAAGTGAGACTCTGTCTCAAAAAGAAAAAAAGTAAGCACTTAATGAATATTGGGCACTATATCTGATACCTACATACCCCAAAAGCCGATTCTTTTTCTTTTTTTTTTGAGACAGAGCTTCAAGCTGTCCCCCTGGGTAGAGTGCCGTGGCATTACAGCTCACAGCAACCTCCAACTCCTGGGCTCAAATGAGTCTCCTGCCTCCACCTCCCAAGTAGCTGGGACCACAGGCAACTGCCACAACGCCTGGCTATTTTTTTGGTTGCAGCTGTGTTGTTTGGCGGGCCCAAGCTGGATTCGAACCCTCCATCTTAGGTGTATGTGGCTGGCGCCTTAGCCACTTGAGCCACAGGTGCTGAGCCCAAAAGTCGATTCTGCCAAGAGGCTTTGCCAGGGCAAGTGGCAAAACTCAAATGTGAGCCTGAGCCTTCTGAGAGTGATTAATTACCCCAAGTTAGGGAAAAAAACACATGCCCAGATCATTAAAACATAATTCAACATAAAACTGCCCCAAACCAGGAATAGAGTGCCTCAGCAAAATTGCAAACTAAATCAAGCCTGAACATGGCCCCCACTGTGACACTAATCTGATGATGCCCCAGGCCCTGTATGAGCTAAACTAAACAGACCAACAAGGAGGGGGTGCCTGTAGCTCAGTGAGAGCACCAGTCCCATGTAGCAGGGGTCACATGTTTGAACCCAGCCTGGACCTGCTAAACTAAACTAAAAAAATAAAAATAAAAAAATAGCCGGGCGCTGTGGCAGGTGCCTGTAGTCCCAGCTACTTGGGAGGCTGAGGCCAGAGGATCACTTCAACCCAACAGTTTGAGGTTGCTGTGAGCTCAGATACCATTGCACTGTTGGGTGACCAAGTGAGACTTTGTCTCAAAAAAAAAAAAAGGGTGGTGCCTGTGGCTCAGTGGGTAGGGTGCGGGCTCCATATACCGAGCATGACAGGTCCAAACCTGGCTCCAGTCAGCTAAAACAGCAGTGGCAACTGCAACAAAAATTGCCGGGTGTTGTGGCAGGTGCCTGTAGTCCCAGCAACTTGGGAGGCCAAGGCAAGAGAATCACCCTAGCCCAAGAGCTGGAGGTTGCTGTGAGCTGTGACACTGCGGCACTCTACCAAGGGCGACAAAGTGAGACTCTGTCTCAAAAAAAAAAAAGACCACATAAACAGACCAACAAGAGTCAAGCTTCTGACACTACACTTCTGGTGGGAAGACAAGTCTGGACCCTGACCATCCATCCAACCTTATAGGAAGTTTAAGAAGCAGATGGCAAGGTCCTTGTGGAGCCCCTTACTCATTCAGCCCAAGAGCAAAGCTGTGCTACTTACTGCTCACCTTGGCTGCTGTGGTCCTCCAGGCTGACTCTCCAGTCATCACCCCGGGGCTCAGCATGCAGCTCGGCGTGGACCCCAGAGATGAGGCCAGGCTCCTGCTGGGGCCGCAGGGCCACATCACACAGGTCAGCCCTGTGGCCCAAGCGATAGGTGCAGCCAGCACCAGTGGGGGGGTGGAAGGTATAGAGATCACCGCCCTTGCCGCCCCCTATGCGCAGAAGCTGGAAGCAGGGCAGCATGGGCAGTGCCCCCTCTGCACCACCTCTTCTACTTCAGACATCTATCACCTTTCCCAGTCTCCAGCCATGCACCATAGGCTTATGTTCACTTTCCAGTCTGATGCAAACTTGAGCTGTGCTGTGTGCAATTTCAATTTTGACTACACTAGCTAAGTAGTGCAAATTCAGACAGAGTACAAGCAGCATAGGCACTCAGTGCAAAATTGGTTGTTAAGCAAACTTGCTTCTGAAAAATTCCAGGAAGGTCTTGGTGCAATGCAAAAACAAGAACATGTCCTATAGCATCTCAGTTGAACTGGATCCTCGGGCCGCAGAATGTTTGAGAAGCCTCCAACTGTGCAATGAAACGATACATTAGGCTGCTTCCAGGGAAATAAAAATTGGAAGGTTGTATGTGTGCGAGAGGTCCTGTTATACAAACATATAACGTACAATTAGAACGTATAACTTCTGTTGTAATTTGGAGAAGAGGAGCTTCTTCCTGTCAAACTTGACTACCCAAATAATGCACCCCTTCTGCTCTCCCGTGCCCCCTCTTCTGGCCAATTCGTCACTCTTAACTAATTAGTTTGAACCACCGAGGGAAATGAATTCACTGTCATCCTCCAAAATCCTTAAGTACTCCAACAAAGTGGATCTAAACCCTTGCTTCCCGGGTTCTCCGGAAGGGATGAAAACAGAGGAAGGAGCTCCCCGCGGTCACGGAAGACAAACTCTGCCCTTCTCCCCCAACCCTATCCCAGGTTCGGATCTACCAGCGCGGTGCAGTCTCCGAGGTCTCTTCTTCAGGCAGTGCCAGGTTGTGCAGCGGCCTCAGTACCTCTCGGGATCCTCCAGCAGAGCCGGCGCTCGTGCAGACGTTTGACAGCCAAGAAGCCGGGGCCAGGAGGGGCGCGGCCTCCGCGCGCGGGCAGCGCCGACCCCTCCTTCGGAATTCCCGGGTCCGAACTTCGCGCCAAGCGAGCCCGCCCCCGGGCCGTTTCTGATTGGTCATCTCTTTTGCTCTCCTCCATGTCATTGGGCATTGCGCTGGGCGGGGCGCCAATGTCCCGCCTTCTGCTTGTTCTGATTAGTTCACAAGTTTTCCCGGTTCCCGTAGTGGGGAGGAGCCGCCAGGGCGCCGAGCGGTCTGGACTCATTAATTGGACCCGGCTGTAAACGCCACTGCGCTTGCGTACACTTTTGCCTCTACTCCTTTCGGGGCGGTTGGGATTTAGAGTGGCCCGCCAATTCGTCCGCCGTGCGCAGGCGCTGTCAAGGACAGAGGCGAGGCCGGGCCCGGCTGGCCGGGCGCGAGAGGCGGGGGTGTGGTCACAGCCCCGAGAGGGACTCTCGCGCTGGGTAAGGGGCGTTCGGGAGGAGTCGGTTGGGGGCGGGAAGGGGCTGAGAGGAATGCTGGGGGTGGGGTGGGTCAGGGGATCCACAGGGGAAGAGGAGGACAGGAGCCAAGTAAAGGGACAGATGAGGTCAGAATAACTTAGCTTAAAGTCCAGCAGGGTCGGTGATATCTTTGGGGAGGAGAGGGGAGAACAGAGCCCGCTAGAGTGCAGGGAAGGGAGTGCCTCAGGCCACTGAGGGAGAGGGACCAGAATAATTTCTTCAGAAAAAAAAGCAGATTAGAATGCATGAAGGGACAGGTTAGGAATCCCAGATTTGGATAAAAAGTAGATGAATTCATTTTTTAGGAGGGTGAGAGAAAGATCTTGAAGAACCCACTGTGCCGTAGGACTCTAGAAAGAGGAGGTGAGTAACAGGAATGGAAGCCAAATGCTAGTAGAGAGAAACTGAGAGGAAGGCTGCAAAAAATACTTGGATGAAATGCCCAGAAGCTGGTTTTTCTGCCCGGGATTTAGCACTACATGTGGCCACATTCATCTAGGTCCAGGCCTTGGGCCAGCATTTTAACAAGGAAGGACCCAGGAGTCATAGCCTGGTGGCTTCTAGATGGGCCCCCTCCCTGTCTACTTCTTTCTCACTTCCAGCCAGGAACAAAGGGGGTGTAGACACTTAAGGAAGAGGGTAAAGGTACTGCCTAGAATCCTAAAAGTATGAGTAAAGCCTAAGAGCTCCCTCTCACCTTGTCTCTCAGTAAATTCTCTCTACTTCATAGTTATTACCTGGGTTCTTTCAGGAACCAGGCGGGGACAAGCAACTAATCTTGGGGAATATCCTACTTCTTTGAGAGGAGGAGAGAGTCTGGTGGACCTGGTTGTAATTTAAGGATTATAACTTTGTTATTGCATGGGCTTTCTCTTAGGAAGGTGGCCTGAAAATTGGAATGTCCTTGTTTCTCCTATTGTCCAGGGGAACATAGATGGCTGGAGACAAAATCTAGAGCCTTCAAAAAATGTGGAGATGTTTCCACCTTCAGGTTAGTGAGACCAGGCAAGGGGACTGTGATTGCCACTGCCTGAGAAACTGACCATCTTTGCTTTTGTGATTCCTCAGGTTCCAAGGGGTTGATTCCCCCCTCCCACTTCCAAGCTCGGCCCCTTTCAACATCACCAAGAATGGCTCCCACCTGGATGTCAGACATTTCCCTGGTCCCACCCCCAGCCCATCAAGATATCTCAGAGAGGTGGCTGGACACTCAGAGATCTCAGATGACCGTGAGGGAACAAGATGTTTCTGGTGATAGGCAGGAGCCAGGGTGGAGAGGCAGGTAGGGATCAATCATGCTGTTTTTCTCGGATTTGCTGGCTAATCACTTTTCTTCACTGAAATAGATTCCTTACCCTATGTCAGCTGTTGGTTACCTAACTTACTCATTTTTACTTAAGCAATTACTGGTACCTCTGACACATAAATAACATGACAGTGTGGAGGGTAGGTAGGTAGGATGGGGATATTAATAAGACAGATCCCAACTTAAATTTTTCATTAATAAGGAATTTAATATCCTAAGGGAACAGATAGATTGGCCAACATTCAATCATTAAGCATAGTAGAAGGAAGAAGTACAAACTACACTAGAAGTAGGAGCCCAGTACTGTGTTAGTGTGGGTTCATTCTCATGAAGTAATTGAGGAAAGACTTTACAGAATACATGCCATTGGAGCTGGACATGCTGTCTGTCGATGTGTTTGTTGTCTGTAAAAAGTTTTTATTTTTGTTGTTTCCTGTGTGTCTTTTCCCAATTGTACTGGAATGTCATTGTGCCATTTCGCTCCAGAGTAGGATTATATCAAAGAGGAAGAGCATGATGAAAAAGGGAGAATACTTTTGGGTGTCAGGAAATAGAGACTATTTCTAGTTTGGCTACCAGCTGGGGGCCTTGGCAAGTCACTTCATTTACCCAGCCTACAGATTCCTGCTGCTTAAAAATTACTCTAGTTCTGGGTCTCAGAGGAAGAGCAGTCTCAGGAGCCATGGTCTAAGCAGGGTTAAACTTCACATGACACCAATAGACTATTCTCCGAAGATTAGCACTGTTATTTATCTCAGACTCCTTATAAAGTATACCAACACTCAATAAATGCCTTTAACTAGTGCCTAACCTCACGATACTGATACTGGAAGCCCATGACCTCTCTATGCCTGTGCCTTCCTCAAACTTCTCTTTTTTTTTTTTTCTTTTTTTTTTGAGACAGAGTCTCACAATGTTGCCCTGGGTAGTGGTGTCACAGCTCAGAGCAACCTCCAACTATTGGGCTTAAGTGATTTTCTTGCCTCGGCCTTCCAGGTATCTGGGACTACAGGCCGCCACCACAATGCCCGGCTATTTTTTGTTGCAGTTGTCATTGTTTAGCTAACCCAGGCCAGGTTCAAACCCCAGTCTCAGTGTATGTGGCTGGCACCATAATCACTGTGCTACAGGCACTGAGCCAAACTTCTCATTCTTAAATCAGAATATAGAAGCTTCCATGTGTTCTTCCAAATTTTCCACCTACAGTATACCTAATTATGTATACATTCGATGTGTAATGCCTCTGCCTGTACCATATATAGCTAGAGAGATCACGTTCCATGATCTCAGCTAGCCTTTAGCCCTGTGAGCCCAGACACTGCACATTGATGAATGGTGACAATGATGTAATTGCAGAGATCCTTGTGCCCCAGCTTTATCCCCCCACCTCCTTACATGGGAACAGAGGGATCCTCTTTTTCCTTCTGTCTCCATTCATGCCTTGGGCCACCTTCCCAGCATAGGAGACAAGTCTCACCTGTGCCACCCTGTCTTTGAAGATCCCTGGAGCTGGAGGGGTCGCAGGCCCTGAGCCAGCAGGCTGCGCTGATCTCTCGGCAGCTGCAAGAGCTGCATCGGCTGGAAGAGGAGGTCCGTGTCCTGCAGGAGACCTCAATGCAGCAGAATATGAGGCTGGAGGCCCAGACCGTGGAGCTAGAGGCTCTGGCACGGGCAGAGAAGGCTGGTCGAGCGGAGGCTGAGGGCCTGCGTGCTGCTTTGGCCGGGGCTGAGGTCGTCCGGAAGAACCTGGAAGAGGGGAGCAAGAGAGAACTGGAGGAGTTTCAGAGGCTACACAAAGAGCAGGTGAATGTGGGGACAGGAAGGATTCAGATGCATAACAGGGAGAGCGGGGCAGTAGTTTCTCAGCATAGGGCAGATGTTGCAGGAGAAACCCCTGTGAGCAGTGGAGCAAGGAAAAAAACTAAGTGACCTGGAAAGGAGGAGAACTTGCATGTTTTGGTCTTACTCAGATTGCACTTTTTTCCCAGGATTCAGGTGACCTCCTGCCACTTGAAGCTCTCCTTCCCCTTCCAATAAGAAGTAGTGTGGGGCAGCGCCTGTGGCTCAAAGGGGTAGGGTGCTGGCCCCATATGTCAGAGGTGGTGGGTTCAAACCCAACCCTGGCCAAAAACTGCAAAAAAAATAAAAAACTGACTTTAAAAAAAAAAAGAAGAAGAAGTAGTGTGCCAGGCAACACCTATAGCTTAGTGGGTAGGGTGTAGGTCATATACACTGAGGCTGACAAGTTCAAACCTGGTACGGGCCAGCTAAAACAACAATGACAACTGCAACAAAAAAAATATCTGGGTGTTGTGGCAGACGCCTGTAATCCCAGCTACTTGGGAGGCTGAGGCAAGAGACTTGCTTAAGCCCAAGACTTGGAGTTTGCTGTAAGCTGTGATGCCACAGCACTCTACCCAGGGCAACAGCTTGAGACTCTGTCTCAAAAAAAAGTAGTGTGCCACTTTACTTTAGGTACCCAGTTCACATGGGGACATTGTGAGTTGCCACAGTGGAATGAAGAAGGAAGATTATTCAATCTGCAAACTCGGTGCTTACTCTTTGCTATCTCCGAACTCCATGACCAAATCAGCCTGAGTCCCTGCCCTCACAGATGGAGCTGACAGCTCCGTGGAGGACACATACATTCCACATTTAATTTAATCATAACTGATTAATTGCACTTGGGAGAAGTGCCTTGAAGGAAGGGGACAAGGGAGTCCAAATTAGTCTGGGATTTAGGGAAGGCCACCCTAACCAGTTGACAATTTCAGGGAATGAAACTATAAAGGTACTAGAAGATTACAAGATTACAAGATTCCTTTGTAATTTTGGAGTAGGGAGGGCCTTTCTACTTGTGAGTCAAAATCCAGAAGCCAGGCTTGGCACCTGTGGCTCAAGTGGATAAGGCGCCAGCCACCTACACCTAAGGTGGTGGGTTCGAATCCAGCCCAGGCCCGCAACAATGATGGCTGCAACCCAAAAATAGCCAGGTGTTGTGGCAGGTGCCTGTGGTCCCAGCTACTTGGGAGGCTGAGGCAGGAGACTCGCTTGAGCCCAGGAGTTGGAGGTTGTAATGAGCTATAACGCCACGGCACTCTACCCAGGGGGACAGCTTGAAGCTCTGTCTCAAAAAAAAAAAAAAAAAATCCAGAAGCCATAAAAGATTGATATGTTAACTTTATAACATTAACATTAGGAATGACAGAGTTAAAGGACACATGATTAGAGAAAAATATAGCTCATATCATAGAAAAATGCTAATATGCCTAATATATATTGTATGCCTAGAAAGTGGTTAAGGTAATGACTAGCAATCCAATCAGAAATTGGACAAAGGAGATAGTTCAAAGAAAAATGTAAATGACCTTCAGATTTATGAAAGAAGCTTATTAAGCTGGCATTTGTGCTGAATGAAGAGGTGTATGTAATGGTGCTGGGAGCTGGTGCACCCTCAACAGAGCAGCAGGTGGAGGTGAGGGATGGGAGGAGGTCAGAGGGCTGGAGTACAGGTATGAGGACTCAGGGTGTGAGACCTCTGACTAGATAAGAGCGTGACACTTTCCCTTAGAAGCAATGATCCATTGTTGAAAGGTTTTTTGGGGGGTTTTTTTGAGACAGAGCCTCAAACTATCACCCTGGGTAGAGTGCTGTGGCATTACAGCTCACAGCAATCTCAAACTCTGGGGCTTAAGCAATTCTCTTGCCTCAGCCTCCCAAGTAGCTGGGACTACAGGTGCCTACCATAGCACCCGGCTATTTTTTGGTTGTAGTTGTCCTTGTTAGGCAGGCCCAGGCTGGATTCAAACCCACCAGCTCTGGTGTATATGGCTGGTGCCTTAGCTGCTTGTGCTTGAGCTACACGCGCTGAGACGTGCTGAAAGGTTTTGAGTAGGGAAATGATGATCAGTTTTGTATTTTGTGACTAAAAGACCAGTTTTGTGATTTATGTCGTCTAAAATCCCTTCACTATCATATGGGACAGGGATAGGGGGAGGAAGACCAGGAGGAAGGATGGCCACTTTGCCTTCCTTTCCAGTCTGTCCCGTGACTCTTGGTGGCTCTAACACCCTTATGACCATTTAAAGTGCGTTGACCAAAAGAGATCCCTCCCTTCCTAGAGCTTTGTTTCAAATGGGGGATGACAGATCATGAATACATATAAGCAAGATACTGTTAGATGCTAAGTACTCAGGAGAACGTGAACAGGAGATAGGTTGGAGTGTTGGGGGGTGGGTGGGATTAGGGCAGGGGTCCTCAAACTTTTTAAACAGGGGGCCAGGCCAGTTCACTGTCCCTCAGCCCGTTGGAGGGCCGGACTGCAGGCCCCAGGATGAGTTGGCTGCTAAGCAGGACAGGCAGCGGCGGCAAAAACACCCGGCAGGTCAGATAAATGTCCTAGGTGGGCTGCATGTGGCCTGCGGGCTGTAGTTTGAGGACGCCTAGATTAGGGGTCCCAGTGAGTCCTCCCTGAGTTGGGATTGCGTGTGGTCTAGGGAGGCAGGAGGAGGCATCTGGTTTTTGGGGGTTTTTTTTTTTTTTGAGACAGAGTCTTACTTTGTCACCCTTGGTAGAGTACTATGGCGTCACAGCTCACAGCAACCTCAAATTCTTAGGCTTAAACAATTCTCTTGCCTCAGCCTCCCACGTAGCTGGGACTACAGGTGCCTGCTGCAACGCCCAGCTATTTTTAGAGATAAGGTGGTGTTCTGGCTCAGACTGGTCTCAAACTCCTGAGCTCAGGCAATCCACCCCCCTGGGCCTCCCAAGTGCTGGGATTACAGGTGTGAGCCACCTCGCCTGGCCTAAGGCATCTGGCTCTTTTTTTTTTTTTTTTTTTTTTTGAGACAGAGCCTCAAGCTGTCCCCCTGGGTAGAGTGCCGTGGCATTACAGCTCACAGCAACCTCCA